GTGCTGACACATCTGGGCTATGCCCTCTCATACTTCATCATCCAGCCTGGAGACTGTGATTAGGTTGAAGAGGAAATCTTGGTCTCCACAGCTGATTCAATTTCTGCTGACGTGGCTTATATTCCGACATATTCCTTGCATTTTATAGGAATCTTCCCATTGGGAAAAGGACTGGAAATAAGCAAATAATAATAAGCAAATATTATTTGCTTATTTGCTGGAAATAAGCAAAAGGCTTATTTTCCTATCTATTTTCACATAGTGACTGAGTCACTGGTCAGGACAACTGGTCATCCTTCTATTTCAGAGAGTTTCATGTTCCTGAACATCAGGAACTATTGAAAGATCATCTTTACATTAAACATACCTTCTTTGGAGAACTGGAGAGGACAGGACAGAAGCTGAAAAAGTGCAGCTCAACAGAGAATACAATGGAGAAAAAAGCCAGCTAGGGCCTTTGGATACACAGAGCCATTATGTCTTAAACCTCACAAGCAAGGCAAAGACCACACCCTCCTTTGGGCCTCAAACAGCAGCCATGTAGCTGATGCTGAGTCAGTGTGGACTGGCGTGGTAGCGTGCAGGCGTCCTGACACTGACCTGCCCAGAGAAGCGAGGGCAGCAGTTTGGTAACTCAGGGCCCTGGAGCACTTTTGGTGGGTGCAGCCATGGGAACCGGCCAGAGTCATTCTGGGTTTGGAGAATTTTCAGTTAAAAGCCATTATGAGCTGGAGGGTGTTTTGAGGATTAAATTGTCTGTTGGTCCAGAAAACCAAGCAGTGGTTGGTTTTACATGTCCACTCCACCCTGCAGGTTCACAGCTAAAACAGCAGCACTGGGAATGGCTGCTGTTATTTCTGGTATGCTGTGATGTGGCTGTTACAGAAGGAGTCATATTCACTTATGAGATGACCTGACAAAGCAAAACTCCTGGTTACTCCTTTTCTGTCAAAAGCTGGAGGTTATGGAACAGCCAGCCTCGGGGGAGGAGGAGAAAGGGTACAAAGACAAAAACATTTCAGGACCACATATACAGTATAGTGTGGCACACTTTTCTAGCATCAGTTCTTTTATATAGACACCAATTTCTCTGTTGCTACAGAAATAGACTTAACACAACCTGAAACCTTCCAGGAAAGCATCATCTCCAAGGCCCGGAGGTAGCAAGTGTCTGAAGAAGCTCAATCATTAATGTATCAGGGAGCAGGTGAAAGGTGTCCTTCTCCTGCTGTAAAAGACCACGGAGAGAAGATGTCTCAGTGATATTTCTTTTATTTAATCTGCCAGACACTAAACCCAATAGTATCCAGGGGCTAGACCAAAATAAGAAAATGCAGCACTGGAACAACTGCAATAATGACTCAAAAGAGTGGCCATAGGTAGAAGTTTTTAAACCAAGACTCTAAATCAAGTCTTTCTTAAAGATCAGTTCCAACCCTACAGAAAGTCCCAGACTTGATGCAGAAACCTCTCAGTAGACATGTAAGGCCAGTGCTTCACAAGAGATCAAAAGAGATACTTATCATGGTTATAATGGCAGATTTCCATTGGTTGGACTCCTTTGCATATATCCCAGTTGTTCTCAGAGCTCTGGCTGAGAAGAAGTTGGAAAGCAAATCTTTCCCTTTTCCTTTCCCATTGTCTTCTCCTGCCTTCGGTGCAAAGAAGGACAGTACGATAACCCATTGCTGCCCTTTCTGTCCCCGATCCTTCCCAATCTACCAGTCCTCACACTCTCATTTCTAAAAAATATAAAGATACTGTACTGGCGCTCCTCCAGGTTTCGGTCCTCTGGAAACTCCAGGCTACCTACAACATATAAAAGCTTCCCACTTTCTTCTGGGAGCCCCAGCTGATTCCCACCGGGTCTGGGCTAGTCTCCTTCTCTTGTGAACTGCTACTGACATCTAGCTGCTCCACCTGACTCCCTGTATCCATGTAAAAGGCCTTCCCACCCATCCCACCAGGTCCAGCAGGCGCAAAGCATGCACTTTCACAAAGGAGCTGTCCTAAATTCCTGAGAGGTGAAAGAGACCTAATGACATGGCCAGGAGGACTCTAATGATCCAGACTTTATGAATATGCCTCTGGAAAGCCCCCGGGGGTGTACAGGCTCAGCTCCTAAGACACTGTGATGTTGTTTGTGGACCTACAAGTTGGGATGCGTCTGGAAAGCAGCTCATGAGAAGGTAGCTTGTGATAAACAGCTCCCCAGCAGAAAACACCCTGGAAACAACCCATATATTAAGGAGCTGCAAATTATGGAGCTGCAAACCGTGGGCTGGAAACTACATTTCCATGAGATTTCCATATTTCTTTGTGCTAATGAGACAGACCCAGGAAGCTTATGAGTTCAAATAACTGAATGAAAATAGCAGACAAAGCTTAATTTATTTTTTTAAGGTCTTCAGAACAATTATTTAATTTTATCTTAGCTTAACTAGTGCACCCGTTTCCTGAAGACAAAAAGGAAAAATAGCAAGAAAGAGAGGAAGCGTGTGCCAAGCGAGGATCCTGGGCAAAGGTGCCTGCTGAAGACCCACAGCAGAAAGAGGTGGGTCTAATAGATAAAGCTACAGGGGACCAATGTACCTCAGAAGGGCAGGAGCCATCCTCTCTGCTCTCTGCAATAATTACCGCAATAGGCACGTCGACATCCTTCACTCCCACGAAGGAGTAAGTCATTCCATGCTTCTGCCTGCATTATTCTGATGTGCTAAAATGATAACTGTGGAGCAGAGGAAGGAATGTGTGCTCACTCAGAAAAGATGCTTGCTGCAGACAGTTATTGGGAAACTCCTGAAGAATCATAACGCAGGACAGGCAAAGCTTCAAGCGATGCAATATTACATCAGTTTCGGTTCATTCTTACCGCCACACCCTGACTCCAATTACGTTCTCCAGTCCTAGTAATGAAATCCAGGTATTCCTTCCTATGCACAGCAACTTTATTAGAGTTTTTACCTATTCTGAGCTTTGCTCCTTCGTATTTAGGGACTGAGTGGAGCACAACTTGGAAGGGCAGGCTGACATTCAGGCACTGCAGTCTGATACAGGAGACCTAGGTTCAACTGCAGACTTCGCCACAGGCGTGCTCTTTGTCTTTGAGTAAACCACTTTGAGCAAGTCTCTCCACACCTCTGTCTCCAGCCTGCTGGAGATATCACAGGAATGCTGCTGGCTTTCATTGTACTGTATAAGTAACAGCCAAGGATGCCGAGATAAGGGGAAACATCTTTTCAACAGAAATAAGGAGGATAAGAGCAATAAAATGATGGGCAAATCCATGAATACTGGGATAATTCAGTCCAGTAAATGGGATTATTTACTTGCCATAATAATAGCTAGTCCAATCCACCATTGTGACACAGAGTGAGGATTTGAGCAAGAGTTTGATCTTACTTGTTTCCTGGTGAAGCAGGCTTGGAGAATTTCTTACAGTGAACGGTTAGTTTCAGAAAGCTGTGGAACACCTGCCTCCTGCTCAACGGCCAGTAGAAACACGTTGTCCCAGAGAGACGGCCATTGCTCTTGAGTCGTAGCAAAACATCTCATGAGAATGAGCTTAGCCTGAATTCTGACGTCAGAAGAGTGAAAGGATTCTTACTTTTTAATTTCTCTGCCTAGTTAAGATTTGGAGACATTAGTGACAGAGAAGAACCTCTAGTTTGTACTTAATCCATCTTCTCCAAACCAGTGCAGAACTGTATTGGACGATTGCTCTGCCAGCTTTATCAGCAATTCTGTCTTTATATTTCCTAGGACAGTAGTCCCAGACCTCTTATTAGAATGCAGCACATATTGACAGAGAAATTGCCTATAGGATGTTTCCACTCCCATTCACTGTTTCAAAACACCCACCCTTCCCCAGCAACAATCACTATCCATAATGAGGAAAACTGCAGAAACATTTTTCACTGAACAACAGGAAATATTTAAAGTATTTTTACCTTACTTTACACTGTCCACATAAAGAAACAAATCCTTTGTGAATTAATGGAGAGCCACGATCATATACGAAGAACCTTTCATTCGTGTCCATTAAAGATCACTCCATGGCTTCACTTGTCCGTAGCAGAGTGTTCTGGAGTTGTCATTTTGCCAATGGAGAGACTTAAAGGTTAATCTCTGTGTCTCTGATCTTTCCACAAACTTCTTACATCATTCCTCATACATCATTCGAGAGTCAAACTTCAGATTTATTTTTTCTTTTTCATCTTACATATTCCAACATCAGCACCTTGCATGAAAACTGCTTATTCAACTCAAAAATAAAATGAAAATAAATTAATGAGAGATAAAGAGCTCTTTGATGCAATAACCTTTAATGATTTCTTCCTGGTGTATAATTTAGGACAGTGTTTTTCCTGGCTTAATGTTGTAAAGTTTGCATCATAAACAAAAAGCTGATGATTCATAAAACATTATTGCTAATGTATTTTTGAAATTAGCAAGAGACATGTAAAGTATCTTCCTTGTCTACCAGGATTCTTGAAAGGAAACTTCCCTTTGAGAAATTATTCTTGGCACCAATGGCTAGAGTAGCCGGCCTTATGGGAAGAAGAAACAGTGGTGACACCCACTGTGGAAGGTATAAATAGAGTTTCGTGGCCACGGACAACTCGCAGTCTGATTTAATATCAAGCTGTGCATCTTGCTTTGGGCTTCTGCTTGCATTTCCAACTGCTGTCGCCATGAGTTGCAACATTAAGGAGACTATTACTGTGTCTAGCAAAGGCAGGAGCAGTGGTGGCAGCTGTATCATTGGTGGTGGTGGTGGAGCACGGATTTCTTCCTATGGGATAGGCAGTGGCAGAGGTTTTTCTGGAAGGAGTTACTGCAGTGGAGTGAATTATGGAGGGGGACTGAGTGTTGGTAGCTTGGCTGGTGGGAGCTATGGAGGTGGCAACTGCTATGGCAATGGCCTTGGTTTTGGCCTTGGAGGCGGTGTGGTTGTTGGTGGTCTTGGTGGCGACTGTTTGCTTTCATCCTGCGATGAGAAGGTCACCATGCAAAATCTCAATGACCGCCTGGCTTCCTATCTGGACAAGGTGAAGTGCTTGGAGAAGGAAAAT